TAGGACATACATAATGGCTCATATTTTGAATTAGTCCAATAACCTTGATTTTAAAGAGAGAAAAAATGATCTCATCAAAGAATGTGCAATTTGAAAAAAAGAAAATCAATGCTAAGATCACCCTATTACCATTTACCATTTAACATTTTGTACAACACTTACTGGTACATCAACCTTTCTGAACATCTCTGTGCCTCTGCAAGCATCAAGCAGTGCAATATCTTGTGGTGTGGTGACTATCACTGCACCTGCACAAATGTGTATCAGTATACAAAATTATTATTTGGGACCCATTTCGGCTGAGGCCATTAATAGATATTGTTGAAAAGGCTCTCCACTAGGGTGGTTAATGGGTACTAATGAATTTTCACTTAACCCCATCAAATGCAGGGTGATAGCTTGTGATAGACCAGGCCCCAGTTGTTTGAAAGGTAGATAATGCTATCCACTGGATACATTTTACTCTATGTGTAGTGCACTACCTTTTGCTAGCACTTGTCTGCTGGATAGCAATGTATCTGTCGAATAGCCTTAACTGCCTTTTGAACAACTGGGGCCAGCATCACAACTTGGTGAAAGTAATACTAAAGATCTCCTCATGCTACCATAGTTAGCAAAAGTTAGCTGGTTCGCAAAGCAGGCAGATTTCTTTGTCACCTGTTATATTTTCTTGGACATGGTGCGCACAACATTTGGTAATATTCCAATCCCTTTGGACTGACTGACCAGAAGGCACTTCCCATTAGTTTATTCAGTCACAAAATGTGCACCAGAGCTTTATTTCAAGACTTCAGATAATTGTGTCCCACACCCAAAATTTGCCTAGCTCACCTGAAATAGGAATGAGTTGTGAGATTGACAGCTGGGTATCTCCTGTGCCAGGAGGCATGTCAATCACTAGAACATCCAGCTCTCCCCATGCTACTTGTCGTATTAACTTTTCCACCGCAGACATCACCTTTTGTGTCAAATACCAAATTAAAATTTAATAATTAAAAATAATCAAAGTTACCGTCATTTCTGAGATTTGGTTCAATTTGGTAATTCTTCCTTAAAGCTTGTATAAACTTCCTTCAAATCAGTTGAGAGAATTTAATATTTTGTCAAGATAACACCCTCCAGCTGATGTGTGTGTATTTGTGTTGCCTGTTTGTTTAATCGTGTATTGAATGATCTGATTATTGTGAGAAAGAGTTGCATGGGCTATGCATTTGTGTGGTACAAATCTCAAGCAATTTACAATTCTCTACCAAGGTCCTAACATTTGGAACTCTCTTCCTGTTTCAATCACTCATTTGTCAAATCTTCTAAGCTTTAAGACAAAAATGCAAGAGTTTGTACTTAAATAATCACTGCATTGGCCAAGCCACACATTTACAGCACTTGCTCTTTTCTAAATGAATCTTTGTAAGTGAGGTGGCCTCTCCTATACAATCAGTGGCTTCTTGGGTCTCCCTTCTCTAAATTATAATACTGTAGATGAAGTTTCTTGTATTGTTAAATAGACAAATAATGGTGATGATGATGATTACTTCCAAGAGTTCAAAGGGTTAATCAGAGTGAACTCACCATTAATCCTCTCCACACAATTGGTGCCCCTTCCTCTACCAGAAAACCCATAGACATACTGAGAAATGAAAATATAATTTATGATAAGCATGATGACTGTTTTATCACAGACATTACATTGAACACAATTTGATAGAGTTAAATAGAAGCATGAGTAACTAGCAGTCACCCAAGGAAATAGAAATTCTAAATAGAAATTCTTAATTCCTTATGTGATAAAAAATACCATGCTAAGTTAATTTATGTAAGATGTGACTTTACCAAGGCACTCCAAAATTCACCAACGGCTTCATCATGTTTTCTTTAGACAAATAAAAGACATGTTAACTCAAACTGGTATTCTTTAAAAAATTTCATGCAAAGCCTTTCAGGCCAATGGTATTAATTTTCAAATATTCAAAAATTAAAATATATTTTAGTCAGATAATGTGGACTAATATATCATGGGCCACAATGGTCATTTCTGGGTCTAAATTTAGTTTACAGTCATTTCTTTGATCATAAACATCAACTTTGTTTTCTAAATGACCCCTCTTGACAAAATGCACAAGAGCTGCCATTTGGGGCACAACTGAGATCAGATCTCTTCCAGCAATAGCAGTTTTAAGTCCAACTGCAACATTGTGGAGAAAGATAATTGAAGCTTCCCTTTATTCAGATCATGATAATCACAGAGCTCCAACCTTTTGTTAGCTCTGGCTGTCCTCTTAAGTTCATCATTTTTGGTATAGATGGTCCATAAATATCTGCATCAAGAAGCCCAACACGCAAAGACTAGTACAAGAAAAATAGCTGTTTCTTAAATTTAAGACAGATAGTTTGACTAACATTTTTCCTGCAGAGAAAAAATTCAGGAGAAAAAATCATAACATTTCTAAGGCTTGTGGAAAAAAAAATGTTTCTTTCTTTCCTTGAATGACACAGTTTCTATTCATTTCTATCATCAACTGTGAAATCATAACAGTTGTTTCCTTCCTCTTCTCAACCCAAACAGACCTAAACAACCCTTAACAGCCTGAGAGGTATGATAGAAAGTGCATAAGGCAGCTAAATCTATCGAGTAGATCTGCATATTTTAATTATTCCCTCCATCAAAAAAAAAAAAACAAAAACAATTTTAAAACAAAGCATAGGGTATTGATTAGTGGAAAGGATTTGTTGAACACAGCTGTAGCCTTTTGGAAATCTTCCTCGTTCTCATACACTGACAAAAAGGACTGTCCCCCCCACCCTTACTGTCAGGGTAGAAATATTTCATGACACATACATGCATGGCAAAGTACTAATTAGCTTTCAGAGAGAAATGTTATTAGTAGTAATCAATAATTAAAGCAATATGATACAAAGACCAGTCATACCAGAAAATCTCCTAAATTATGGTCTCTGCCTTGAGGCAAAGGCAAATTCTCAAAATTTGCAAATTAGAAACTTTAAGATGGAAATTTGCTGCTACTCCATTCACCACAACTAGCAATGAGATGCTTGATTTAATTATGTACAGCATTACTCTAAATTTCAACTTCAAACCTGTTTGCTTGCTAGCATTCCCAAAGCCAGATTCACTAGGAAAAGTAACAAAAGTCAAATCAATATCTGAAGAAACAAAATGTGTTAAAGAAATTCACAATTGGTAACTCATCCCTATCAATTTTAGAAGAGTTTTGGAAGAGGTCTAAACCTAAGAAAAATTTGATGGTCCAATGATTATGGCTTGTAGAACTCAACAAAAAGGAAAAACACATGAACAGAACCAGCAAGGATCAACACCATATTAGCTGACACTAGGCTTGTGTTCCCTTCACATGACTACTTGCATACTAAGGGTATGTCATAGCAATTAAAGGAAGGGCTTTGTGACCCCTTTTCATCTGATGTTGGACATATTACACCATTTAGATCAAACATTTGGTACACATTTCTATAGTATCCAGAACTGAATACTCCCCCCCCCTTTCCCCATCCCTGACCCAAAAGAAAAGGAGTAGATACTATATACACACTATATTTGACTGAATTGCAATTAAAAATGGAACCAATAACTTGAAATGAGAACTTATAACTACTGCTCTGAAAATTAGTTATTTTCAAAAACATTTGTGAAAAGATATCAGGAACTACTTGATATACATATATATGTCAAAGTCAGGAACTATATGTCAATGAAGACTTCATTCAGTGACTTGCGATTTATACCTGAGGTGGTGGATTTTCCAACTCCTCCCTTGCCAGATGCTACTACTACCACATGCTTGACACCATCAACTGGCCGCTTTTTGGGGAGACCTCTCGCCATTTGTTGCTTCTGATGTTCTTCTAATGACTTACTCCTACTTTTGATGCCCTTCAAAACCAGAGAAAAAAAAGAGCATTGTCTTGTTACAGTAAATCCTCACTTGAAAAACTTCTGGCAAATTTCAGCCAAAACTTAATGGTCCACCCAGTAGTCTGACGTGAAAGATAACTTACCCTCTCCTCTAGGCGTATGGGAAGGGGGGCTGATTAGAGGCGAGAATAATGGCTGACACTTCACCGAGCCTGCCAAATACTGCACAGAATATAATAATGGGGCCTTCATTCCTTCACCTGTGACATTAGTTACGTCTTACAGCAAGATCTAAATATCCAAAATTCCCGAGCCTTTCCGACCCTTTCCTTACCCCGTGACTCTTATCGAGGAGAGTTTTTCAATTCCAGAGAAAAAATAAAGAAAAGCAGAGAGAACAATTTAAACCTGCGGATAAAATCTTCAAATAGGTACTAACCCTATAAAAGAAGCGAATCATAGTTGTGTAACCCATAAGGAGCTCGAGATGAGGATAAGAAAAATAGACCCAAATGAGGACCAAAGTCTTCAGCGACGGAAACGAATAGAAGTTTACCTACGTGAACATCATATTAACACCCACCAGTGGATCTTCGTGAGATGAAGCTAGCACTGCACAAATGTGCATCCTAGTTTTTCTACAGGAAGCTGGTAGAGAAGAAGATGATATTATTGTTCTTGTTAAAAGTCTCTGTACAACGGACGCCATCTTTGTTATTGATACCTTTACGTCATGTAAGCGAATTCAAATTATCCTTTCCACGTGAAGCATGCTCTCCCCAGTTTCACACGTAAAACATTTCGTAGCAAGGATATGTCTTTTTGTGTCTTTATAATAAATTTATGTTGCAATTTTCTCTTTGATTATTCAGGAATAATTTTCTCTTCTTCTTTATCCCCGAGTACTCTTCTTCCTACCAATTTGTTTCACTTCTCCCTTTGAAACAGAAACACCAGCTGTATCCCCTTCTTCCACGACAAACGCTCCCAGCTAATTAAGCTAATTACGTTGTAGCTCTGTAACTCCGCCTAAACTGTATAAAGCCTTTTATAATGGTAAAGAGTCAAAGTTGATGTCTTTTGTTGAGAGTCGATTTTATTGTGTTAATGAACGACCTATGCCGTGATGAGCACTCGATTACCATGGAAACTAATCGATTAATGCAACAATGCGATTTGATTTGTGATTTGATTTTCCACACAGGAATCTGCGTTGTACTGGTAGCGTGCACAATGTAACGAACGTCTGATTGATTCAATATCGAGAAATGTCCTTTGCCACTTTTGATGACGATGACGAGGATGGGATCGATCGAATAGTCTTGTCGCTAGAACAAGTTTCTCACGAACCGGGGGAATTCGTAGCATCGAGCGATGCTCTGTTGACTGGTTGGACTGTAGATCGCTGTGTAGCTCCAAATGAAAACAAACCTTCGTCTCACCGATCCTCTCTGGCCGTAAAAGACTCTAAAGATCTGAGATCGAGTACTCCTCGAAAGATATTTTCTCGCCAGAGAAATCGTAATGACGTGATCGAGTTTAAACATTACCTACACCCTGAGAAATACATCGAAGAGTACAGGAATGAAAAGACTAAGCGACAAGAAGCTGCTCTGAGAGAATTAGCAAACAAGACCGATAGATGCAGAGCGTCTGATAGCAGTGTAGAGTTGAGAAAAACTTGTACAAATTGCGATTATTTAGAGAATGGAACGTCCAAACACGTCCCTAGTGTTGTAAGTATGAAGGAAGTACAAACAGTTGAAGATGACAATACTGTTAAGCCGTTCATTGTTGTCAAATCAAAAGGATTGACTCGACCTGCTAATTTGCCAATGTCGGGACAATTCCACGGCAGAAAACTTCAGTGGAGGCCATCTGTTACGAACAGAAAGATAACTCACTCAAAGCCATCACCTTGGTAAGACAATTTTAATATTGATTGTACCACATGTTTAATACGCGTGACTGGAATAATAACGATCACTATTTATCTAAACATTCATTTTAATCCTTCAAACATCACTTACACGCCATAAACTACTGACTCCTTCAAATAAATTAATCATAAGTTGCTGAGTTTAGCCATAAGCTGTTTTCACATAATTGTTAAGTACAAATTCATACGATACACCATTCGTGAAGTCATGAAAATATAAATTCCTCCAATTATCTATAATTGAATTTTGATCGTAAGCAATGCGCCGATGGATCGATAAAAATGCTTAACGTTTTTTATTACAATGGGCAATCAAAACAAAGTTTGAGAAGCGAGTTTTGTGGCCAGCACGGCTCTTTTTCCTTTTTTAAATTACGTAAACATGTTCTCTCTTCTTCAAAATAAATCTTGATTACTCCCGTTGTTTTCAGCGTAGCCTGCCTGCACGCAAGTTCGCCCCCGGCCGAGGAGAGAGGGAAGGGATTTCTTCCTTTCTTTCCTTCTTCCAAGTGTGTTTGTAGAAGCGTTATCCAATTACGCAAACGAATATCCTACTCGCAAGTTGCATTTATTAAGACGCTTTGAACGCTAGCTATACTTAAGATGTGGAGGAGATTAGTCAGAAACTCTCTCTCTTTTTAGGAGTCAAGCACACATTGATGTGACTCTTGAGATTACATCACAGGGTGGTGGTGACGTCAGTCAGTTGGTCCACACCAGCAAACAGGTCAGGCTTTGTAACTTTCTTAAGAATTCGCTGGTTTAGAAGAACAATGATAAAACTGCTTTATATGTTAATGAAACAGATCATTTTCGTTATTGAAGCTACATTAAAGTGGTAGAAGATTAGGGGTCAGACGTTAGACCACAGAGTCAGCGTTCATTATCACATATAGTACAGTGTACCACATTATCCGTGAAATCGATTGAAAAAAAATAAGGTTTAAAATCAGCTCAGGAACCAGAACCAGCCATCTTGGCCTGTTGACCGACTAAGCTTGGGTAATTTAGAATCTGCTACGTAGCCACAATAAATTCACAAACTCATAATGGTTTTGTTGATTTTGACTATCATCGACTATCAACTACGTTTTGCAACTCCTTTGTGGTAAGAATTTCGGATAAAAGTTTTTTGTAGAAAGCAAAAAAAAAAGTTACATCCAAGTACGTAGGCCAAAAAATGAAATAGGAGTTCTAAGATCTGAAGGAGAGTGGTAACCTGCTATTAAGAAATGATACTTAGTGGGTGAAGGAAAGGGAATTTTAAAACTATCTGTGAAAAGGAAAAGGAAAAAACTGAACAGAATCCTGAAAGAAAAAAAGTTCTTGTTGTGGCTTCTTTGAAATTTAAACTTTCCTCGATTTTTTTTTTACTTTGACAACAGGAACCTTTCGAAATTTTATTTCCACAGAACGAGGATAACAATTTATTCCAAGAGAGAAGATCATCGGCGAACTTAGTGATCAAGAGAGCAGACTTAGGAGGTTCACCAACTGCAACACTGCGAACAAACAACAAAAGTCCGTCCCCAGCTACTCGAGCTATCACTTCTCAAGCTATCATAACTCAGTGCTCTCCGATTGAAAAATGCGACGCATGGGTGAAAAACCGAGATAATGAATTGGGAAATTTCTCCAGCAAAGTGAAGGAACAGCTCAGCGCAAAACCGCCGACTGTTCGAAGAATTCTCGCGTCATCTGGACACTCTACACCGCTTTCTTTACGCGGAAACTCGGTGAGCTCTCCTCAGAAAGATTCGTCTGGTCCACGATCGACGGAAAGCTCAGCGAGTTCAACTGGAATGGATTATTCTAAATATACTGACATGTTTAAGAATGTGTTAGAATTTTACGGAACGAGACGTTTGAGGCCAAAATCACATTCAGCAGTGGAACAGTTATTATCCATGAAGACATGACAATCGCATATTTGTACAGAGAGGACTGTAGGCCTGTCTGTAGAGTATGTCTGTAGAGTTCTTTTTAAGCGTTGATTCAGTTTGAATGCCAGAATCCGGCGCTGCATTGCACGTTCAAGATCTCGTCAAGTTCTGCTT